ATTTTTTATATTATATGATAAACACCAAATAAATATTTACTGAAACTGGGAACTACATACATCCTAGGAAGGTAAAGATTACAGAAATTCAAGCGTATTTGGAAAATAAATGTTGCTAAATTTGCTATTATCACCTACTAATAAATCAACAAAGATAATATGTATTAAATGTTATATTACTATTTTTACTCATGGATTCTTATTCCTCATAATAATAAAGAAGCTACTGAGTAGTTGGCTTTTTTATTTTGTACCATCATATAGTTGTCAAAATTAGACTCATCTTGTTTCTTTTTACTATCTTTATCTTTCTCTTTCCCTCCTCCCAGTAAGGAAGTCAATTTTACGAACAGATTTTTATCAATTTAATTTTATCAGTATGATTTTCGTAAAATACTTTTTCCAAACTAAACAGATGATGCAATTAAACTGAAATGATGTAGAGAAGGCTGCAAATACTCAGCTATATATGAAGCAGACAAAGTGGCACAGCATGCAAACTAGAAAATCCACCAAACACATCTCTTCTTTAACTGTTTTGTTCAAGTTTCTTTATTACTTAGTGGACTAGAAACAGAAAATAAAGTTGTAAGTGCCCTTCCTTCACACTACTGCTCAGAGGATAAATACTGTTGACCCACACTAAACATACCATTAATCCCCAGACAATTTTCTCAATGTCCTAGTCTAATAGAAAAATTACACCTTATTCATTCAGCCTTAATATGTATCATTGCCTACCCCCTTTTGTTGTCACTTCAGCTGTTTATAGGGATGTAAATGAAATAGAAGATCACAGAGTATTTTTAATGAGTAGACCTCAGAAGATATTAAATACTTAATTAATTAATTCCTAATAGATATATGGTGGTTTACCAGTTAATCACTGTGTAAAATGCACCCTCTTCCTATACATCAAAGTAAATACATTTACTATTGATCATGTATAGAAAACAAAAAATATATATTTTAAATTTTCTGTTTTCATCTGAAGAGAGTAGGTTTTAAAGAACAACAGCAACAAAAAAAAAAGTATGTTTTTTTTTTTATCTTGACATTAATACAAGTCTTAATTTTTGCATGAAAGAAATCCAAATTAAAGGTATTTTCTATTTACTTTTTCCTATATTTTTTTTCCAGTTATGATAGGAGTTAGCAATCTCCTTCAGCATCCACAGATTCAAATGATAAAGGCCAGGGATTAAGCACAGCCGATTAACAGTCTGTGTCCTCTTCAATCTAGCATTTCCACTGTAGATAAACCCATATTCAGACTGAAGTTATAATAAACAGACTGTCCTCAATATCATTTCCCTAGATGACCTCCTCTAAACTGACATTCAAGTATTCTTGTGGAAAATTACTGTTGATCATAACTGAAAAAGTAGAGAATACAACATACATCCCCACAGAAGTGATATTATTTATTCAGATGACCTAGCTAAATGTTTGGACAATTATATGGATAGAATAATAATTTTACTGTAAGTTATTTTGTTTCAGTTCTGAGCAATTTCTTATGATTATAGATTTGACAAAGGACTTCATTTTTTAATGTCTATTGCTTATAATTATCTTTAAAATAACTGCATTTTAATTTATACTTATTATTAGCAAATAAATGTATCTTGTTAGATTACAACAGTACAAATTCTTTCCACACAGGAAAATAAACATTGAAATTCTTAGAATATACTGGAATATAAGCGTTATGCTACAGAAAATGTCAGCATAACCAATTTGCCCAGTGAACAACTGTGACAAAATGAAGTACTATATGGTCAGTGCTGACAGAGTAGCCTGTTATATACATGTTTTGATTTCTGCTGCAAATTATGTTTTTGCCTAAAATTAAATATATATATATATATAATCTAAAAACAAAGACTCTCAAAGACTTTTGTTTTGTTTTCAGTCACATTTTTATACGGAAATTCTGACATAATATTCAGATACTGACATTTGACCTCCAGAATCTCGTGGGTAAAACAAACAAACAAACAAACAAACAAATAAATAAAAAGCAATTACTGATAAAGACATAGAATGCTTAGTGGACATTTAAATTTCTTTACCTAGATGCTCCAGGTATTTTAAGAATCTATGGAATTTTGTATCAGTGTGTTTCTTTAATCTGGATCATTAATATTTGAAACAATTTAATTAAAAAAAAATAATAATAAACTTATCTACACAGTTAAAGGGACTGGATTCAACTCCTGTTTCCTCTAGTTTATATTGGCGGAATTCCAGTGAAGCAATTCTGAAATCAGATGAATGAATGAGTGCATTTATTCATCAATTCTCATTCAGAGCACGTGATTAAAATTTGGTTCCCTTTGACAGCTCAAACAATAAGAAACAGGCTATGCTATACAGTGGCAAACAAAAAACAAAAACAAGCAAATGCTTTTATTAGTAATTTAATAGAACTGCTTTGAAGTAAACACTGCATGTGACCACAATTCATCCATTAGAGCTGAGCATCAATTCTTTTTACTGAAGCTTTTTTTTTTTTTTTAAGACAATGAAACAATTCAGATTAAGTTTAATAGCCAGAACAATACTTTCATATGGATGTATGGATGATTACATGCACCTTTTCTTGTAGATGCAAGACTGCTTCAAAACTCTGTAATAAATCTGTAGTTGAGAAAGAGCTCAAAAAATGAATTTAACTCACTTACTTTGAGATCTCACTTCAAAAATTAACTTTGTGGTCTATGCCTGTAAGAACTTATCTCAACCAACTAAAACCCACAGAATAATGTGTTTAATCAGACTGTATGGACTACAGCTTAAGGCTACTTATGTTTAGCGTGAGTTGGAGACACACTAACTTGTATGTTATGATTTGTAGTTCAGTTCTTCTTAATCATCTTTGTGAGCAGAAGGTTGCATATTTTCCACACCAAAAGAGTTTCAGTGAATTATATTTAACTAGGGATAAGATTTACAACTTGCAATTAAAACATCATGTATTCCATATATTCATTTTTAAGTATCTTGTTCTCAGTATTAGCCTGTTAAATATGCTTGTCATATTGCACAGGAACAATCTGGCCTTCAGCTCATCACTGACACCAAATCTAATCTGTCATTGCTCAGTTATATTTTCTTTTTTCCTTTTTTTTTTTTTTTTTTTGAGAAGTTATATAAAGGAAAATTGATTACCTTTACATGCTATTTTTTTAAAAAATGGGGAGGAGGGGCTAAGTGGACATAAAGTTGTAAAAGCATACAATTACATTTATCAGTCCTTTTTATTTACAAGCTAATAGGAAACCTCATTTACTATTACACACAACACAAGGAATTTTATAGGCTGTTTGTTGTTCAACACACAGTATTTTATTATTCTTCCCCTAGAAATTTGCATAGGTTTTTCAATTTCTAATTTTCTGTCTTCCTTAATTATTGGGAGAAATTTCTTACTACTGCACTGGACAAACATGTGATTTTATTTACACTGGATTTTAAAATGATACTGTGTCAGCTGAGCTGATATTCCTTCAGTAAGAACAAATAAAATATTAATCGGAAATATTTTCTTAGAACAAATCATCACAGTAACCCACTAAAGGCTGCAGGACAAAATCCAAAATATAAAGAGACTTCGTTGTGACCCGTCTTTGGAAATGCCCAAAGAGTGAAATGAAACTCTAATGGTGAAAGAACTTGAAAGAGTGTCTCTTTCAAGTATTTATGTATACTCGTGTACACACCCACACCCGCATGCACACAGAGCTCCATACCACACATTTCCTCTCTGAGAACTTTCATTTAAGCAGCTTCACAGTATTGTAGCAGAGCTTACAGTATTCCCAAACTTTTCCCATTTATTTTAGATTCCAAGTTTTTTTTCATCAGCTTCTGAGAACAAGAAAAGAAGGTGGTACACTTATTGCTGGCAAACTGCTTGAAAATTCTGAGCAAAGAAGCCCATCAAGGCAGAAGGATGAAAATAAAGTACAGAATTTGCATATTTAGAGTATGGTTACTGACAAATAACAATGCATTCGTTATGCAAATCAAACCCTCAGCTAAAGTGAGTGGATTTGCATATCTGTGAGAAATCTGCCATGTTGCACATCAGTAACTTCATTTTAAGTGGCTGAAAGAACTAGCTCTTAGCAGAATATTAAATATAACTGCCAATAGATTTTGTTTTTATTTTAGTTGTGATATAGAATAAACGTTAATCATTAGAGGCCTGATGAAAGATGATACTGGTTTTTTTGTTTTTGCTTTTTTTTTTTTTTGTAAGAAGCAGTACCATTCGGATGCTAAAACACTGCAATTTTTAAGACTGAGATCATGAAAACATTCAAAGACTGTGCGTTGCTATTTGTGTTCATCTTTTAGTGGATGAAGGTGATTTAAAGTAACCCTCTTGAGTGAGAAATGCAGAAAACATGTAAGTTTAAGGCTGTTCAGTTCTGTGTAATAAAACTGTGCTTACTTAGTTTTACATTTAATGAGTGAAGAAAAATACGTTGGATTGAAAAATTTCACAGGTGAAAATCCTAGGCTGAAATAATACAAAATTTTCTATCATCTACTAAAATAATGAAGAGTTAACTGTAGGCATATTGATACTAAAATAAAACTAAGGGGAAAAAAAAGGGAATGTTCTGTTTTAAAATGAGTATACTACAGCATTTTTATCATTCATGCAATGAAAAACAAAATGTTACTTCTGACTAATGTTTATTTTCCCTTTCTTCTCTTGTGAATGACGATTAGCTCTAGTTAGGATGTAAGCTTACACACCCTGTCCACTATCTGTAGATGAAATTGTGATGTTACACAGATTGATCAAAGTGAATTCATGCAAACTTGTTCAATCTACAAATTATTCCTTTTGATGAGTATTCAAAGACACGATCCATTTCCACAGATAAAAATGGAAGAAACTGCTCAAGATGCTTTAAAGATCTTGCTACTTATCCCATGCAGAACTGGTAAGTGAGCTACAGCACCATCCTTAGAGTACTTACCATCTTCTGTGGGCACATAGATATTCAAATACAGGCAGTCTTCATTTTGATCTTGAACATATGTCACCACAGTATCCAGATTGGCTGTAAACCAGACTGGCAGCATGTCGTTGAGCAATGACCTCTCATCCAGGTACTGTGGGCAGACAGCAGCAAATTGTGTGGCGTTACGGACACCTGTCCAAGATGATGGTGGCTCTGGGGGCTGAAATCGCCTTTCCCCAGTTGGAGGAGAGGCATAAGGAACACCCAGATACTGTTCCACTGGACCAAGGATTTCATTGGGTAAAGGTGTTCTTAAACCACGTATTTTGCCATAATTTGTGGTAACCACTGGGTATTGTGCTTGGCCATCAATAAGAGTAAATCTTATAGCTAGTGCAGTTATCCATAGGAGGAAGTTGGAATTCAGCATGACACACACTGGAGTGAAGATCAAAGGCAGCCATAGGAGTCCCATTGGTTTCGACATTATTTAAATCAACATCAGCAGGACTCTTATTTTTCCCACGAGCAGTAGAAAAATGAGTCAAATAAAATGAAAATTATTAACAAAATAATAAACTATTCAAAAATAGCATAACCTTTCTCAGGCAGCGAAAAACCAAAATCTGATGTGTGACTTAGTTGATTGGCTATAGACAAATTCCAGAGTCAAAAGAAACCAGGGAGTGTTTGTCCCCAAGGCCCATCCCAGTCTTGAGTGTCGTCTTAATCCTGACAATGCACAGCACGTTCCAGCCAATAGAGTGAGAAAAGTACCACGGTTACTCCACTTCCCCAGCAAAATGACTCCCTCCAGTGAAGTCCAGTCCACTCAGCCTGTAGTCAAGAGAAAGCAAACAATTAAAATCAACAGATAAGTTAATACTGATGTACATCTATACAAAAGGAACAAATAAATTCATACTATACTATCCTACCAAAACCAATACATCTTTCATGAACTCTAGCCACTATGCTTGGCTATGTGTTTCTGAAAATACGTAAGGTAAGAAAACTGAAAATAGAAGGCATGAATTTGTGCAGGGCTAGAAAACAAACCAAACACTTTGGTTATGTATGTTTTCACACCCAATTCTACATTTAAGTGCCAGTTCCAGGGTATTTTCTGCCCTAAATAAAAGCATCTCCTTTTTAATCAGATTGGCAGTAAAATAGCAGACGCTCATTAGATGTTTTGGTGCACTGAATAATCTCTTTGTTATGACATGACTTCCATGTGGTATCTTTCGCAAGTATGCATAATGTGTAACCCAACTTACCTCCATGTAATTCAGACATTCTAATGAACGTAACAGAATTACCTTAATTCAAAGAAAATGTGACAATACCATTAATTAAAATTACATAATAAATATTGGTTTTCACATCTGCTTTATTTATTTTATATCTGACAAAACTGAACGCTAGCAACTGAAAAAAGTGTGATACAATCTCTCAGAAATCAGATCTTGACCTACACACTTATAGCTGTGTAAGTTTACTATGCTCCCTTATCTTTAGACAGAAGGAAACGTATAAATTAATTCTGATATTTTTCAATGAAATATGTCACATACCTTTGTGCTAACCATTGCAAGGGGTGCAAGTTACATGTAAACTACACTTACATTCTTCTCTCTATGCAAATAAATTGAGTTCCTTTTAATCAATTTTTCTACTCAAAAACAGACAATTTCACACTTTGAAAAATCCTTATTACAAGAATCTAGTACTTTACATTTAATGGGATGAATACAAAATAAAAGATAAATCATTTATATATTTGGAAAATCGGGTTCTGTACCAAGACTCTGTGTCATGAAGATATAAAATCACCTTTCAAAAGCAGAAAAATCCAACGTCAGTAGTTAAAACAGTGATTTCAAATTATAAACAAACAAACAAGAGATATCTAAGAATTATCTATGTTGACACTTTAGGACAAAGATAGGCATCTGAAAAAAAAAAAAAAATCGTTCTTTTAAAACCCGCCATTATTCTTTAATGACTGTTTCAGATTTTATATCATAAAATACTTATGAAATACCTGAACACCAGAGTCCTCCTCAAACACTGCCTTCCTGTCCTATTTCTGCTACTGCTAACAGCATGGTAACTTTCTTTTCAAATGAAATATTGTATTTTCCATATTAATTACTCTATGGAAGAGAAGTAAATATCATTTCTGGGTCTACCTCTGGACTGGAAAAAAGTCTAACTGGATAATAGAAAATTAGGCAACTTAGACATATGTTTGGAATAAATTGAAAAAACAATTTTTAGACAAATTAAGGGAAGTGAATTTCATTTCTTCCATGATTTTTTTACATCTTCAAGAATTTAGAAAAATGCATGCAGACTTGCTTGTAAAAGCAGCTCCTAGTTGGAAGCATCACCCACTCAAACAATCCAAACTAAAATGTTCAGTTCAACATGGCAACTTTTAGCAACTTGACACACACAGAGAAGTCAAAGATCTGAACCTGTATCCATTCATACACAACAGTTTTATTTGAAAAGCAATGCGTTTTGATGCTGATAGAATACTTATGGCCTTTGAAGAAAATGCACTTGTATAATCTCTAAAAACATTGCTTGAGTTTGATCATAAATCTGTTCCACAAGCAATGCTGAGAGATGCTTAAATAATCTATGATTCTGGCCTTCAGGTTTAAACTGATGGTTACCAGGATGAGCAGTTAGTACCTTTCCACAATGAGAAGATTAATATTATAGCAGCTCTAAACTAAATCTGTAACCATTGGGGAACTATGACATTCAGCTTAAAAGTTCTCTTTGCTCCAAGGTCAAACATCAGATTATAAAGTGATTGCAAGTTATTGTGATCTGCTTGTGCAGGTTGTGAACAGTAAGAAAAAAAACCAAACAGATAATAAAATCAAATAAATGCCACCAACAGCAAACACAAATCTAAATGATAGATATGAACACAGGAGATGGAGAACTGCACAGATTTCCTGGAATTTCTCAGGTTTTATCTAAACTAACCATATGTTAAACATGTACCTCAATTTTCTTTCTTTGATCATTTCTATGTCCCTCACTTTTAAACAATTTCTGAACGCTCTATCGCGTTTTGCCAGTGAGAGTAGATTTCAGCAATATATTTATTATATCAATTGCCTAGAACCTGGAAAATATTATAAATATTCATCTAAGTGAATTCAACTAAACAACATCGGAACGACATAACTACATTAATGGATCAACCAAGTTATATGTTGCTGTTATTTCTGTGGTATTAAACTGCTGTTCAACCACAGCAGTTCAGTGGGTAATAGGGGTGGAGAAGCTTTTAATGATTTCTCTTTTACGTTACATGCTAATACATTCCCCGTTAACTCATTCTCTTGAAGATTTAAACATTAAAAGTTAAATGAAAGTAAGATATCAGTGCTACAAGTTAAAGAACTATGATGCAGCATTTTTTAGAGTAAAAAAAAACAAAACAGCTGTATAAAATCATAATGTATCTTGAAGTTGGTCTTAGATTTATGGTTAGCAATAAGGACAAAAGTAGATAATTCACATGCTTTTAAAAATAGAATTAAAACCTGAAAAACAATACAGTGTATGTGTAAAAACATTAAAACAGTTTTATTTTTTTCAAAGTACGTGCTACATTCAGTTTTCTCTTTTTTTCTCCAGAAAGCCTCTAAGATATCATTACTATTTTTAAAAGAAAAGGAAAACACTTATAAAGCATTCTGAAAAAAAAAAAAAATAGGACTTTGGATGTTGCTACCCAAAGTTGTTGTTGAATAATCACAGATATGGCCTTTCCTTATTTTTTTCTTGTATTTAAAATTATAAAAAATCATTAGCCCCAGGAAGACAAAACTAACAGGAAATGTTCAGTTAACATAGTTGTACTTATGCCACTGATTAAAAACTATACTTATAGTAGCTATTACACATAGGAAAATGAAAAAAAAACAAAACCATATATATCCATGATTAGTCATTTCTCATAATTCTATCTGCTTCTTGAGATCAACTGATGGAGATCACAAATAAATGAGGTATCAATATTGGGAGTAGGAAAAAAAGCATAAACTGTTTCAACTCTTTAAATTACTAATTATCTTCACATTACAGGTGTGCTCTACTCAAATCAAGATTTGACCACTGCTTATATGAATTTAAGTTTCTTATGACTGAACTGATGCTGCCAGATTCAAATATCGTACACCAGAATTCAAATGAAGACATAAAACATATATGGTCATGAAAAAATATATATCAGCAATGAACTTTGATTGCAAAGTATTGTGACAGAGTACTTAGCCTTTATTTGGTAAGAAAGAGTTCAATGACTAAAATATGACCACAGACATTGATTACAGTATTTATTTTTTTGACTGTCTTTGTCTAGTCATGGCTGCAGAATGAAAGAAAACACAACTCCTCATGCATGTGTCAAAAGGAAACATACAAAAATATCATCACTGCAATTTAGCATGGTTGCTGACTTAATTACAGGCTCTTACTACCGATATGACCTTGTAAAAGAAATATCACACCTTCTAGATCTATTCTTATTTCTTTTCTGAACTTCCATTTTTTGATATTAAAATTTATTACTCCAAAAGAAAAGCTTATGATCTGAAAAAGAATGATCAGCTCTGAATTTCTGTAAGGCAAAATCTCATGTAGAGTAAAATTTGTTATATCTGGAGTAAAAGAGATGCATACAAAAAAAAAATTAAATCATTACATTATGCGTTTTTTAGATTTGCAGAATAGACTTTTATAATTCAAATAACCCTTTACAAATATCAAAGTTCATCACCTATTACCACTGCAAGACACACAAAAGCATGTTCCTAAAATGCAATAAGTATAAACTCTCTTTTTAAAGAATGCGCAAATGATGAAAAAAGGAAAATTCTTAATATCTCATTTTTGTCTACAAATCAGTCAGGAAAACTCACAGATCTCATCCCTCTCTCGTCTTCTCTATTTAGCCTGTATGTGTCCTTCTCAAGGATGTACGAAACTAAAATCCTTGCTGGAACTCAATGAGAAGGTGACTGAGGGACTGATTGTTATGCAATTTGATCTCTAGAGACTGTTTAATGATTAGAATTTGATATCTGTCTGTTGGCATTTCAGTCCAAGCAGAAGAAACATTACAAGCATTACAGTAGCCAAAAACATGGTGAGAAAAGCAATTCAAATCACCTGGGCATATAACTTTTCCTCACCCAAACATGGCAGAAAAACACTGCTCTATTGTACACATTCATAGAATTGAATTATGGATGAGACATTATATTTTCATTGCATTACCGAGTTCAGTTACTAGGTGGTGATACTGTTTTCATTTATATGATAATGGCACAATTATGCACTCATTCTGGAAATGGGATAGCTGAGTGAGTACTCTTATTAACCTGAAGAAGTCTAAGCCCACACCTCCAATCTTTCATGTTATAAACATTAGTTTCGAAATAAGTCTGGGATAATTGTGGCAGCTAAGTATAACATTTTCAGCTTTAAACTGAAAGACATGGCTTGCAACTCTCACCTTTGAACTACAAGAAAACTATGATTTTGCCAACTCATAAAACAGAAACTCTTCCAGATAAGTAATCTCACTTCCAAGGAAGACTTAATACAGTGAGTAGTAGAATCACTGCATGTAATACAAATTGAGACTAGGGATTATCTTTACAATGATATCACATCATTAAGTCTTCTCTCACTTACTTTTCCCCTTAAGCTTTCTCTCTTTGCTAGAAAGTGGACAATTTCACTAGCAGAAGAGAAGAATATCCTCCAGGTACTGCTCCTGTGCTTTTTTCTCACTTAGT